CAATCCCTCTTTGTCCTACAATACATGACTATTTATAGGCTCCAATAGTTAGCATCCGTGACTCCCTTCCTTCAACACACAATCCCTCATGACCTGGCACTTGTACTACAGCAATTAGTTAAAATAATTGTTGGTGCCTATGCGCCCAAGTTCTGGAGCCTATGCGCCTAGGCCTCAGGCTCTTTGTTTACTGAATTTTGCATGGGGGCTCACTGATGCCTCGACGCTAGTATCGCGGCGCCTAAGCGCCCAATGGTTGGCACCTAAGTGTTAACCTCTAGAGTTGGTAAGGCATGAATTGGGGCCTAGGCTTCCAAAGTTTCGGCGCCTTGCACCATTCAGCTCCAATTCCTCTCCTAATTTTCCCACTTTGATTATCTGTTGTTCCTACAAGATAAACATAAAAATAACTTTCTTAAAACGTAATATCATCAATGGAAATGTATAGAAATAATCCTAAATTATTGTTAACTTTTTCATGCATCAAGTCACAAGTCCTTGTCTGAAATAAATAGCCTAATAGGATTTCTCTCAAAAGTCTTAGTCATTTCCTCAAATACTCTTTCTCCTTTTGTCTTTTTTTAAGATTCAATAGGCTTTGGTAATGGTTTGAATTTTGGCTTAACTTCTCTTTCATCAGAAACTACAAAGGTGTTTTTCTTCTCATTCTTCTAATTTTTTGGTTGCAGGTAGTTCTCTAAAAAAATAACTTATTTTTTCAGCATGTAATATGTTGCATGTTTATAAATTCTAACTTTATGAATTGAGAACAATTGTAAGTCATCCTTATTACAGTATTCTGCATTATATAGCCAATATTTGATGCATTGATGTAGGGAAGAATGTACCATCTAATGTTCGTGAAGCTAAGGTCTCCTCAACAGTGCATTGAAAGATGTCCCAGAATCAATGATGTAGAACTTTGTTTCAGTCTTGGAAGTCTCCAATATTGAGTAAGAGGGTAATGGAGCTTAGAACTCTTTCACCTTTCTCATTGGATCTACACAATACCATCTTGCCAAACGAAAGTTTTTGGGTATCAAAGCTAAGATGAGTGAGGGTTATTAAATTCATTACGTTGACTGATGTATCAAGATCAACAACAACTCTTAACAATCAAATTTGTCCAACATTTACAAAAATATAAAGTGATCAACTACGATTAATTGTCTCTAACAGGAGGCAATGATCAGTGAAAGTCAGTTTAGGAACTTCATTGAAGTAATTTATTTCTCTATCTAAGGGACCAGATGTCAGTTAGGCAATACAAATTTAAGGATCTAGTAAGGAACTAATCACTTACTCTCCCATATGTATGGATAAGATGAATTTCATAGATACTGACTTTTGCTGAAAAATTTCTTAAATGTGACAATACATTGTAATCAACCTTAGGCGGAGTCTCCACAAGCGTATTTTGGATGGGAGCATCCTGTGAAAGGGCTACTAGTTGATTAGTACTAGTTACAAGAATAGATTTTTCAAGAAATGTTGTGTAAGGTGGCAATACTTTGTCACTTTGAAGGTTGATCTCCAAGATAACAATTGTGATAGCATGTACCAATTATTCCATATCATCTTGAATTTCTTCTTAGGGTTTTTCAAAATTGGAAGATTTTATCTCGATCTCAATAGACATATGCTAGAAATTGAGAAGAGGGATATCACTATCGAAAAATGGATTGTCATCCACAAAAGCTTTTTCAGTAAGTTCACTTATGATTTAAGAATTACTATTATTATTACTTAAGTCAATTGAACTAGGTTCAACAGAAAGGGACAAAATATACCCAAAAAATGCTACTCATTTCATTAATAGTTCTATCCGGAACAAAAAGTCATACAGAATAAGTGGCATAAGAATCATGATATTGCTTCCAGGCGCTACAACACACCGGGGGCTCATGTAAGTGTGTGTGTCATATAAGTAATATCATCCTACTTCATCATCCTTCTTAAAAAAATTAGATAGCACTTTACATTCCAATTATCCTACTTTATCATCACGATGAAGAGTTTAAGGTTTACCCAAGAAGCATATTGAAATCACCAAACAATTGCATTGAACAAAAGAGAAATCCACTAATACTTAGTTGCAACAGAAATACACATACAAGTATGCCTAAACACTTAGTTATTTCTCCTTTATAATGACCAAAGATGACTCCAGTCAGCACTCCTCCTAATTCCCTAACTTTTACCTAGAAGAATACCACTCCCTCAACACTTAGAAGAAGAACTATGACTCTCCAAAGCAAAAAAAAAAACCCTAAGTAACTAACCAAAATCAATCCTACATCAATCCCTCTTTGTCCTACAATACATGACTATTTATAGGCTCCAATAGTTAGCATTCGTGACTCCCTTCCTTCAACACACAATCCCTCATGACCTGGCACTTGTACTACAGCAATTAGTTAAAATAATTGTTGGTGCCTATGCGCCCAAGTTCTGGAGCCTATGCGCCTAGGCCTCAGGCTCTTTGTTTACTGAATTTTGCATGGGGGCTTACTGATGCCTCGACGCTAGTATCGCGGCGCCTAAGCGCCCAATGGTTGGCACCTAAGTGTTAACCTCTAGAGTTGGTAAGGCATGAATTGGGGCCTAGGCTTCCAAAGTTTCGGCGCCTTGCACCATTCAGCTCCAATTCCTCTCCTAATTTTCCCACTTTGATTATCTGTTGTTCCTACAAGATAAACATAAAAATAACTTTCTTAAAACGTAATATCATCAATGGAAATGTATAGAAATAATCCTAAATTATTGTTAACTTTTTCATGCATCAAGTCACAAGTCCTTGTCTGAAATAAATAGCCTAATAGGATTTCTCTCAAAAGTCTTAGTCATTTCCTCAAATACTCTTTCTCCTTTTGTCTTTTTTTAAGATTCAATAGGCTTTGGTAATGGTTTGAATTTTGGCTTAACTTCTCTTTCATCAGAAACTACAAAGGTGTCTAGCTCAAGAAATGCTTGAGTTCCTAAAAGATCTTATGCAGATAACTTCTGGAGCTGCTTGATAATCTTCCAAGAATTCTTGGATAGCACTTTTTGCCAACCTTCTTTTTTCATGTAAGGGTCAAATGGTTCCATGTCTTAATTTGGTTCTTTCAAATATTCTCAAGGGATGATTATGGTTCCATCCTTGTGATTTCTTTCCAAAAAACTTTGAATGTTAAACATTATTTAATGGTATGGCCGAGCATTCTGCGGAATTGATAGTAATTGTGTTCTATATCTCTCCATACTTCCTCAAGTTTATTGGGCTCAGAAAGTTTAAAGTTTGGATTCTTGGATAGACTCTTAAACATTTTTTTGGCAGTTTCATCATTATAGGGATATTTTCAGTTCTTTAGTTCCTCAAACTCTTCCCGTACTAACTTCCTTCTTTCAAATTTCTATGATTGTTGTTGTTGTTTTTATTGTCATTGTTGTGCATATTGTGATTAAGATTGTTGTTGTTGGTATTGTTGTTATGGTTGTTATCAGTTACCAAAAATGTTCAAGTTGTATCTTCATTGGTTGTTTTCATTTGTCAATAGCAGACACATTCTCAAATTTTTTCTTCTCAAAGGCTTTTTGGGATTTCTTCTTGGTTTCCTGACTCAGAAATGGTAACTATTTTGCCTCTTGTAAATTAGTTGCCTTACTTATCAATTAATTTCTCAAAAGTTTTGATAGTGAATCCTTCCAATATAAAAGCGATCGATCCATATGTATTTTTTAGTAGAATCTCTATGACATGTTCTTGCAATTGGGGTTCACATTTCAAGCTTAAATTTTTCTACCTTAAAATATAATCTACCAGAATCTCATTAGGTCTTTATCTCTCAACAACTAAGTCTCCAATAGTGATATGGTCTTGAGCTCTAGCAAATCTTTTTATGAATAACTCTTCCAACTCAACAAAGGTCTTGACTAGGTCATTGGGTAGTTTAGCATATCAGTCAAACATTGGATAAACTATTCATAATTTAACATAATAATATGGTGTTGCTTCATTCTACATTGCAACAACTAGTTTAAAAGTGTGCTGAGTATTGTCTTGGATTTCTTATTTCATTAAACACTATCTAATTAGGTGTCACAAATCCTTTAGGATGTTGAACATTAACAAACTCTTCAGAATATGGTTGTCCCTTGGGTATTGAAGTACCACTTCAGGCTTAAGCTAATACATCTTTTACTTATTGCTCAATCGGAGATTTGAAGTATTCTTAAGGTGGAAAAGGCGTTTCCGGCTATTTCTTGGTAATTTCTCTTAATCTTGTCTTTGAGTTATCAAGCATATGAATAAGTTCAGGTTTCTCAACTTCTATACGAACTAGCACCAGAGTAGTTCTCTTTTGAACTAAGGTTTTGAAGCTAATAAGTCTTCAATCTTCTTTTCTAACTTCCAAATATGCTCTTCCCTTTGCTTCAACTCATCCAATATACATTGAGTTGTATTAGACAATGGACCCTCTTCAACTATAACATCTTGGTGTTACTAATATCTAGTTTAAATTTGTCAAAATGACACTCATAATTTCCTCAATCCTTTTCTCCAATCTTTCAATGAGCTCATCTCTCCAGCTTGAGTGATTTAAAAGTTGTCGGGCTATATCTAGTGCAACACCTTCAACCATATCATCATGTAAATCAATCTCTTTTTTTCTTTCATTCTCTTAACAGTGCAACACCTTCTTCAACCATATCATCTTGTAAATCAATCTCTTTTTTTCTTTCATTCTCTTAATGAAGCTCTGGTCTCAACTATCATGACAGTGGTATTTTTTTCCAAAGCCTCTAAACTTATATCCTTTATACTTGAAAATAATACATGATTTTTAAATATTTTAAATTTTTTATACTTAAAATCCTGGCTTCTAAGTTCTAAGATATTTTAAATATATTTTATATCAATACTTATAATCTAGCCAATTGGCACCAACGCAAACTGTTACTTGTCATTATGTACCATCCCAAGCTGGCTATCAAAATAGCTCGACTCAATTACCTCCAGAACAAGTGCTATCTCGAACATTTATTTAATATGAACTCAAGCATAAAGTTCGTTTAAGAAAATAAGCATGAGAGGAGTAATTACAAAATCTGTTATAGATTGAATTGTACAGAAAGCATTAGCAAATATTTGGTCTTAAAGTAAACCATAGTCTGTCTTCAAGGCCACGCAAAAACAGTCAATAATGAACTGGAAGCTTTGTTTTCTCGGAATAGCCTTCAGATGCTCAATTCCCAGTCTTTAATCTATATGCAGCTACACCAGTAATCCATGAAACATCAAATAAGGCAGTTTAGTAAGGGATTCATCAGTCATCAATGCATTTTAAGGGTACAGGATAATGTAAACAAATAAATTAAAATTTGTTTTGACAACTAGTCCTGCTATTAGGTGCGCCAAATTCTAATAGAGTTGGTTCATTCAATATAATATCCATATAAAGGATAGTTAAGCTCTTTTATATCTACTTCGATCTAAAAGTATATCTGGGCATGTGGACTTTTGTCTTCAGTCTTCATTTTTTATCTTACATTCTGCTATAAAAGTAGGAGATTGATACACAGGTTTGTTCTGAGAAATGAATTGTTAGCTTACAGCAGTGGAGATGATGTATAAACTACCAACTCGTGCCATGGGATGCCATGGAAATCACTTTATTAAAAATAGTCCTAGATTATAATTCATAAATGTTTCCTAAGAGATCAATACAATTGGGATCACATGATAAATATATTTACAAAGGAAATAACGAAAAATAAAAAGCTAAGAAGCTTTCTTTTAAAATACCAGGATTGCGTTTCAATCTCTAGAGAGATGGTAATCATTTAGCAATTAGAAGGCCTAAGGTTAGTCAGCAGTCATTTTGATATTCATTAGCAAAGGAATATTTTATGGAAAGGGGTGCATGTGAGACAAGCCAACTCGTGAGCCGGCTCAAGCTCGGTTCGTGAAGTAAGCTCGATGAGCTAACAAGACAAGCTCAAACTAGCCCTGACTAGACTTTGTCATAACTGCTACTTTCGTGGAGTCTTTAGGTCAAACCACACAGACTAAGGACTCGAGTCACATCCTTACTGACATGAAATTACTTTTAGTGTGAAGATAATAAGACACTCAGTATGACATTCGTTCTTTGTGAGCCTTTAAAGTCCATCAAAAGTTTGTCACCACGACAAAATATTGAGACAAGTGGACGGGATTCACTTTAAGTCATTTAAGTAATTAATTTTAACTTGACTGTTTAATTTGTTACTTTGAAATTTTGATCTGAAAATCTAAATTTAAAAAGTGACCTCTCCGGTGGAGATTCAGTCAACGCGATATCATCGGAGATTTGACATTTAAAAATTTTATGCTTAAGATTCATTTTAAATTTGTTAACTTTGATATCTTTAGTATATTAGTAATGTCGCCTTCAGTCCTAACAAAGAAGATCAAAGTAGGTGTTTTAGACATTTAAATTTTATATATGATTTGAACACTATTAGAAGTTACTAGACTCGTTAACTCAAGTCCAAACAAGGAAGAGGATTGGACTAGTTGAGTGGGACTAACAATTCTAATCTATAAGCAAGATGATTCAATTGATTAATTTTCAAAAAATGAGACTAATCAGAGTGAACTTTATTTAACCCGCGCAACATTTTCAAAAATTTTATATTTTAACATTTATTTAATTTGGTGGAGCACATAAAGATATTTTAAATTTCATATATTTGAAGAGCTCAAAAAATTTCAAGTTTCAAGGATTTGCACGATCTTTTAAAATGACTTTAATATAAAACTTACTTCAAGAAACACATGCAAGGTTTTGAAATTGTGCATAGTTGACTTATTTCCTAAAGCGTCTTAAAGCATTTAGAGATCCAAAATATCAAAGTTATTATTCATATAAGTCTTAAAAAAACTCATACAAATTTCAAAACTATGCATTTAACTTGAGAAAGAGTCATGGGGTTTATATCAATTCTGAGATCATTCAAAACTTGAAATGTTTACAATATTATGACCGAGTCACACAGCATTCCATTTTTTAATTCAAAAGTAACACATTATGTCCTCTAGCAGATGTATTACGAATTCAGTAGGCATTAGAAAAATGAAATTTATGTAACATGTCTCTAATATCATATTTAATTCATTTTTGCAACTTTAAAATCTAGGAGTTTTAAGTTAAAAAACTCAAATTTTGGATTGATTTTTAAACCCTAACACCGTAAGTCAAAAAGCCAAATTCAGATTATTTTCAAGTCCTAAGAGCATAAACTTAAAAGCCCAAATTTAAATTATTGTCAAAACGCTAATAGCCTGAATTTTAAAAATTCAAATTCAAATTATTTTTATGCTCAAATGATTCATATTTTAAGTTATTTTAGGTTATTACGAGGGTTATTGTAGGAGTTATTGAAGTGGAACCGCGGAGGGAGCCGCGGAGGTTATTGGGGAGTTATTAAAAAGTTATTGTGGCGTTATTGGAGTTAATACCTCCAATAACCCTTCAATAACCCCGCAATAACCTCCCAATAACCCGCCAAACAACATTCGCAGTTCCACTACAATAACCTCCGCGTTCCACTTTTTTTTTTAGGTGGGCCCGATATAACACACGTGGCGGCATATTACTGGGAGTCCGCACGTAGAGCTACGTCTAGAGTCCAGACAAAAAATTTTTCCCTATTAGCTGAGGTCAACAGCATGAAATTGACCACTCAACAAGTTTTTCAACTCCAAATATAAGGTCCCCTTAAGTGATGTAACTAATGATTGCAAATAAGGATTTTCAGATCAGAAATTGGCAAATCATCATCACGTAACTATTTAGAATAGAGTAAATTTACAGATCCATGAAGATTGAACCAAACAATCTCAAAATGAGTTTCTCATTATCTCCCCACCATCTACTCTATAGTAAGATTGGCATTTTATTTTGCACTAGCTCAAACGATAAAGAAAGCCATCTCAAAGTAAACTTACTATTGAACCTGAGAAATAACTTTAATCAAAAGATCACTCCTTCAATCAAAAGGCGGATAAAAATGTAGAGCATCAAACAAGAACTAAAGAAATCTTAAAATGGGGGCTACAACTCTATGTAGTGCTTGATCAACTACCCGATTACATCTTGAAAGTACCTTTATATGGTTCGCACAAGCTTAAAGTTTTTAGATTACTACACAAACTTTTTTATATAGCTTCTAATTATTTTGCTTTATCCCTTTTCCTTCATGGCTGTTTTAGATCAATGTTATCTATACTTTAGGAGTGCATCTTCTGAACTCCATCGTACATGTCTAAAACAATCAAGCCTCTTTCTCATTATCTTATCTCAAATAGGGGTGAATCTGATTGCCCCATTTATATAATCATGTTTTAATCTATCTACCCAAATTTACCAATTCAATTTAACAATCTACGTTTTGCCACACAGAAGATGCCATCGCTCCACATGCAAATCCATATTTTATAGCTAGTCTAAATACAGTTTTATAAAATATTCTTGCTTCTGGATCTTCATTATTGTAAAATACTCCTTTGGAACTTCTCCATTTTAACTACCTAGTCTTAACTCTCAAAGAAAAATATAGATTTTAAATATTCAAGCTCTTTAATGATGAAAATGAAGTAGTTAACTGCATTTAAGCATTTAGCTGTTTGGAATGTAAAAGATAAGAATGTACCTTCACTTAAGGAAGTAATGTGTGCGAAAAATGAGGGGATATGTACAGCATAAACCACTACTCCAGCACTGTAAAAAGAAAGAATTTGGGAATTTAAGAAGTCTCATAATGTATATGATTAGATAAATATTAAAATTCAGATTAGGTTATAAAAAGATTTGAAGATCAAGTGGCTCGAGGTTCTCACCACAGAGAGTAAAGGCCCTTGTTTGAATTTACTGTGAAAGGAAAATGCTAGTGGCTTGGGATACTCTCCAGGACCCCTAATGAATCCCCTGTATAAAAGAATGTTCTGGATTAATCATCTCTTGTAATCAGCTGCTGGTAAGATTTTGGAAACTAAACAAAGGGTTGTCTCAGAAATAAAAGAAAAACAAAGTAATATAATTCTTTTGGCATGTGATATACTAACACCAGAGATGGTGAGATAAGAGGCGTCCTCTTGATGTCATATACTGCAATGAGACCCCCGTACATCTCTTCACCGTCTTTGAATGACAAAGCCAATCGCTCCCCTGAAGCATCCCAGGCTATTTTTTCAATGCCACAGCTGTACATAAATGTGACGTTAATGTGATAATTTGAGAAACAGACTCATTACACGCATTATGTATACAGAAATAAGTAATAATACAATCAGAAATTCGACTTCCATTTACATATATCAGTCACCTTTCTCCATAACATTTCGGTTTCATGTGAAAATATGTCTAATATTTAACTTTTAAATCCCAAAATTCAACGTAAGAGCCTGTTTGGGGATAACAGCATGGCAGGCTGCCATGCTCCAATGCATTTTCAGTTATTCCCTCTAAAGTGTAATTAAAGTAGCCAAATCGAGACAAACGTGAGTGAAATTTATTGTTTGTTTGGCTTAGCTCTGCACAGACAAGACGTGTCCTATGTAGGGGGTCAGCTAGTCACACACAGACAAGGTATGCTATTGACATCCACTGGCACATGTGCAAGGAGCACCGGCGAGGGGCAGTGGAGAAAGGGTTCGGCAGTGACACAAGAGGAATGCAAGGGTGTGCACAAATTGGGCCATGAGGAGCTCGTAGGTTTGTTTGGCGACAAGTGAAAAGGGAGACAAGATCAAGAATAAGAGAGATGTGATAATGTAAGTGTAAGAATGAGGGAGTGCGGTAGATTTAAGATTTTTCCTTTTTTTTTTTAATGATAAGGACTTTTGGCCTTCACAATACTGGTGAGCCATGAGAGCAGCCACATGATAGGGAGGGGAGAGCTAAGACTACCGGCATTTATTTTATTTTATTTTATTGGATCATGTTGGCACAGTTTGAACCTAAACATTTAAATTTATTAAAGCCGGATGAGCCTTGGAGCAATCAAAGTGGATGTGGACAAAAAATCTGACAGAAAGAGCAATATTGAGAGATGCCTTCAAATTCAACATTTTGCTAATAATCACAAGAGCACGCACCAATCCACAACTTGTATTGAATACGATACGAAACATCCATTTCCACTAGGACCTTGCCATGGGCTTAGAGAAATAGGCAGTAGCATCATCAATTTGCAAAAATTCATCAAAAGAGATCCTAATGATATAAAGTTGAATAGTTGTAAGTACTGAAGACATAACCTTAAAAAAGCTACCCAAAAAGAGGTGTTAGGCAATTCCTCTCATACATCAAAATGGGAAGACCAAGAAGAAAACTTGATATAATCTGAATGTAAAAAGCTTGATAATAACATGATGAAGAAAAAAGAACAACTCAAAATTCACCAATCAATTGCAATTTTGACAAGACTGGCAATGATATCCATGTTGGGATAGCCCCAAAAATTTGTTTTAACAATAGTACAAGCGAATGATCGAGCAAGCTCAACGATCTATCCATCAGTGAAAATAAGAGTAAGATTTTATTGAAAAGAAAAGGCTTGGCTATGTAAATTAGAATCTTAAATTTGATGAAAGAGTAACGAGCATTATATAGACAATAAATCCAACAACCCGCCTATCACATTGGCAAAAGAGCAAGTCATGCAGACAAAAGGTGAAAATACTTAAAAATGATTAGAGCAACCGAAGCCACAACAACGAAAGTGGATGATATGGGACCATTGAAATCCTAGGAGGCAAAAAAGCGAAGAAACGACGAAGATGAACAAAACAATTGATGTTGGGGTTGACAAACATGGAATCACTGAAACTTAGGAGTTTCTAAGAGTGGTCGTGAACAGAAGGAGCGATGAAGAGGGCTAGGTATAGCAGTCAAAACTAGGTAAGGAGAGAACGGAATATATCTAGAATGAGGAAAAAAAAACATCGTTCTTATAAGGGGCAACTGTGTGGATGCCATCAAATCATGTGACCACTTGATCTCGGGCTTGACCAACTGATACTAGAGTTAGCCCAAATCGCAATGAAAAGAAATTATTATTGTTGAAATTCAAACTGTTATAGTGAAGACTCTTCAAAACAAGAAATAAACGATAAACAAACACAAACGATTCCCTAGAGTGAGGGCGAGGGTGGTGAACACCGGTTGGATAGCAGGTGGACGAGATTGTTGGGAGATTGCGACAGCACTAGAAAGGGTTGTATGGGTAGAGGCAAGTGGTAAGAACTGGGCTTGCGGTAGTAGGTGGAGGTGTAGGAGAGGGATTGCGACAGTGGGTGGAGGTGTTGGTGGAGTCGGCGACAACAACAAGTACGAGGTTGGGGTTTTGTGGCAGAGAATATTGAAGGGAGTTGGGATTGCCAGCTGGAAGCAGGGCAGGGAATTAGAGATGGCGGTTGGAAGTAAAACAGGAAAGTGGGGCTAGCGGTTGGAAGCAGAGAAAGTGCGGGGGAAATAACTGACTATAGAGAGAAGGAATGCAAAAGCATGAGCATCGGCAACATGCCGAAAAGGAGAGAATACACACCACCTCGGGATGATTTACACCTGGAGCATCTTCTTGCTATTGAATACTGCCCAAGAAAAGGAAAACTAGATGTCGGCGGCTGTCCAAACAAAAATTGAACCCTAATACAAAAGAATACATATAAATACTAATAGATAACTAAGGGGGACCCCCCTCACTTGGGCGGCAACCCTAGCGTCAAGGCAATGTTCAGCTGGCCCTAGATTTATGCTGACCAAACCGGTCAGCCTGGATCGAACCGATCAGCCTTGACCGAACCGAATAACCTCTCCCTTGGAATCGAGCCCAGCGTCAATCTCCCAGGGTTGGGGGAGATTCAACCTCAATCACTAAAACTTTTGGTTACACGTGAAAATGACGGAGTTATTGTAATCTTTCGGAGCTGAAGAATTTTCGACTACGGCTCTAGGAGAATTTGGATCCCACGAATGGCTACACCATCTCCCAAAGCAGTCGAGGATTTTTCCCCTCTTGCGAGCAAACATCCATCTCGGTTCAATATTTTGGGAATACTCATCACGCATATACTGTTGAATCCCCTAAAGTAACTTAAGGTTGGCACCCCATGCTCTGACGTGACGATAATCTGAATCTCTCCAAATGATAGTGGCTAGGACGATAAGGCATCAATCAAGATATCTTGAAATGCTCTTCGTCATGACTGTCACATGTCTGTAATCGGTGTTTCAATCGCATCATCCTCTATCATCATCAAAATTGATTCCACTGATGTTGCTCTACTGGCTAGGGCACCTGTGATCTCCTGCGTCGCCGAAGGAAGAAGGACGACGTGCTTTCCCTCATTGGTGGAGTATGTGTTTCTGAATCTATCTTGTTGAGTCCTATGGTCAAATTGTCACGATATCCACTTCACACAACACCTAGTCCTTCTAATAGAAAAATCCACTAGGCACCTATTGTCAATGATGACACTATTCTTTTTCTTCAACCATGACATAGAATATGGACGGGAATGTCTTTGAGTCATGAGGCCCAATATCTCCACTATCTACAAAGATACCACAATTTTGTTGCTCCCTTCATTGATGATGAGACCACTTACATTTCCATTCACAGTGAACAGATGTAGAATAAGTTGTGGCAAAGCCACTGCGGATCACTCGTATCCTCGATCAGTAGGACCCATTGAACTATAAGTATCTCGCCTTCATTCGGTGGGAAATGATATATCTCACCCTGTTCCTCAGCTACCTCCTCGTCACCAACCTCCTCAACGGCACCCTGCTTGGTAAAAGACACGACTCAATCGTTGGGCAACTGGAGGTGATGTGCCCAAATCTATGGCATCTAAAGAATTTTCGCGATGGAACTGTAGGAGTGCTACTCTTCTCAGGCTTTTTCTCACTTGAGATGTCTCTGTCCTTATCTGAACTAATTTTCTCAACTCCATGAGGTGTGCTCCTGCTGGTGTCTCTAGATCCAAGTGGTTGTCGGACTCGTGGTGGTTGTCTGCTCTATTTTTGTAGTCTCTTCACCTTTAAGGCTAAAGTCTGGACATCTCCCAGTGACAAATAAAGCTACAGCTGCAGCTTTATCGGGTGAGAGATGATACAACTCCACCTGTTCCTCAGCTAACTCCTCGCCACTAACCTCCTCCACGGCGCCCTGCACAATAAGAGACACGACTCAGCTCGTCGGGCAACTGGAGCTGATGTGCACAAATCCATGGCATCTAAAGCAATTTCGGGCAAGAATTGTAGTAGGTGTGCTTCTCTTCTCAATCTTCTTCTCAATGGAGGTGGCTTTATCCTTATCCGAACCAATTTTCTCAACTCCCTGAGGCATGTTCGTACTGGTGTCTTTAACTGCAAGTGGTTTTCGGACTGGTGGTGGTTGTCTGTTCTGTTTTTGTTGTCTCTTCACCTTCAGGGCTAAGGTTTATACATCTCCCAGTGACAAATAAAGTTGCCATTGCACAATGTTGCTAGTAGTGAGCTTTAGTCCCCCCCCCCCCCCCCCCCACCAGGTATATTGTGTTTTGTTCCTCTGACTCAACCAACTCACACTTCATATGCAAGTGATCAAACTGCGTCGTGAACTCCTCTATTAATAAGTATCTATGTTGAATGTGGTGAAGTCAGAAATATATTCTGGCGAAAATGAGCAGGTAATTATTTCATCTGCATTTATTTTCTCAAATTTTCTCACTTGGTAATCTCATCATTGTCTTGTCTCTTTCTCTGTCACTGCAAGTTTTTCCACCACAAGAAGGCGCTATTCTTCAACTTGATGGCTGCTAGTTTTACCTATTTATCATCTGGCACTTCATTATAATCGAAGATTCGCTCAACAGATTGTGACCGATCTATAAAGTCGTCAAAATCCATACTTCCATCAAATTTCAGTAGATCCACTTTGATGTTGAAATCGATGTATCCTCCATATGTGGCTTGCTCTCCCAGCCTCCTCTGATATTGAATTCAAATGTGTCGGACTCTGTCCTCATGATCGTTGATGTTATCCCAATGGAAGGGATTCAAATTATCTATTTCTTCCCTTTGATTCTCCATCTCATGATCAAGGGTAATCTCCCACTACGTTTCATCATCAATCCCTGCAAGCCTCTATTGAAGATGAAGGAACTCTTATTGTATCTCTTTTCGAGTGAACCCAAGCCTATATCTCCTTGGTGGC